ACGTTTCTGCGTTCGGATGCTTGGACACAGGATGAAATTTTGCCGCGAGATATCATTCAGATTATTTTGAAGATACACACTTAATTCATTTGGTATTTTGGATTAAATAATGATGAAGTGAATTATCAATAAGCCCTTGCTATTTGTCATAATTAGCAATTGGATATAATAAAGTCAAAACTGACATACTTCGGATGCAGCTAGACTTCCGACGCCAAACATCTTCACAGAAAACGCATTAATAAGGAAGCCATATTGAGAGGGAGGCTAAACTAAATTTTATAACTCATAATATCATTAATGAGTTTAATGCTAAGACACTAGTAATGCATGTCATCTAAAATTAGTTTGTTTCCTTTTGTCTGAAAGGAAAAAAAGATATCAAACACAAAATTAGATACATCAGTCCATGAAACCTCTTTTTTTAAAGCACGCTGTATGGGTGTTTCCCAGTGATTCAGAATTTATTGCACTTTTTTCCCGATGAGAATCACCGCCTCACTTTTTCATTTCTTTATTTATTGTTTTCTCCATCTATGTCCTGTCGTGGAATGCGGTGAAATGAATCTTGCATTTGATTTGCATTTGGTTCTTGTAATGACAAGAATAAATGATAGTGAATATAACTATGAATTATAATGATAATAATAACGATACTAATAATAAGGAAATGATGGTAACGTACTGAACCGTCCATAGCCACAGGGAACAATAGCAGTAGCCCACTATCTAAGGGGCGTATTTTCGTAAGGACCCCATGCCTCCGGGGGTCCCTGGGGGGCTGGAGGACCCCAAGTGGTTTTAAACTTTTATCATGATGAGTCTACAGACAATTACCTCCCCTTTACAGAGGAAGGAATCTGAAGTCAAATGTTACCTCGGGCCCTCAGGAGGCTAGGAACGCCTCTGAAAACAAAAATATCAGTGGCATCAAAAGTCTAGAAGAACACGCCCCGTTTCCCAAAGCATTCCCAGCGTGTATCTTCCTTTCATTTTTTTTTTTTGGGGGGGGGGGGGTGCACTACAAAAGAATTTCTGTCTTTGAGTTTAATTACTACGCGTGTTCGTTGATATATCCGGGACAAGATAAGATTGTGTCCACATGCATGCAGGAAGTATGCTCATAGTTTAATGTATGTGCAATGATACATTAGCTCTGTAGTACAGATTTGATTACTGAGAAAAGGCAACAGAATTCTCATTCGCGGAAGAAATGTAAACCATTCGATGCCTAGACGATCTAATAAATCCAGGTCGTGATAGTAAAAATTACATATATTTTGTATAATTTTGAGTGTCATTATCATCACTGCAACTATCATTATCCACTTTATCACCATTATCAGTATAATTTCCACCACCATCTACATTATCAGTACCGCTACCACAGCAATATTTTCATTACCATCACAACCACTATCATCATACAAATTATCCTCCACCTCCTCCTCACTATATGTATAACTGCAAATAAAGTTATAAATGAGGATGCTGTTATCATGACTGAAATTGGGTATGGAGAGATAACTGATTAGCCGATCAGTTCAGCTTTTTGAAATGACGGCGATATGGGGTATAAATTGCTCGTGCTTGTGCTTATATTATACGTGAATCTTTTCTGCATGCGGTGCCTCGTCAGACTTTACTTCCCTGAAAAAAAACCCAGAATATTGTAACGTCTTTTTCAATAACTGAAGAAATATCGATCTCGTTATGCTATCTGGTGTTTTAAAGAATGTGTTGCAATTATATATTTGATTGATTGCTTAGCGACAACACGTGCAATCATCCCAGCAGCCACTCCCAGAGGGGATGGGCCGCATGCGTGTTAGTGATTTCTCGGGAAAAGGAGTCATTTTTCGGTATCAATTTCGGGCCCGAGAAGTCACAAAAATGGATATTTTTTTTCTCCCAGGAAAATCAAGAAAAAGGGGGTCCGTCTTGGTCAACGGCACTATGCTTTGGACATGTTGGATATTTTCATCACCCTGATTACAATTTTGATGCATTCAGTTTCATCACTGGTTACATCCAAAGTCAACAGAAATTATTGAAATTTCTCATTTGCTTCTCCTGCCTTTAAATCCAATAGCCATGTCCTTCCCGTAACTATGAGATTAGAAATTCTGCAGTTCCTGGAGCAGCAGAAGCCCTTTCTGTGTCTTGCCCTATGATTTTGTTGACTGAATATTTGTTTTATTGCACTGTACCCTGGAAATGGGAGGCTCTCTTCTTTTTCAGTCCTGAGATAGGGTATGATATTTTTATCAAGCCTGAGGAAAGGGAGTGAAAAAAAACTGAAAAAGCCCGCGAAGGACCTGATAAAAGGGTTAAAAAATTATAGCTCTTCCTGAGATCGTTTTTTTAGGTGGTTAATAAGCCCCTGGAATGGCAGAGGGGGGGGGGTAGGCAATTCTATGATACAAGTAGGAGCAGGCAGAGCTCGGATAATTAACGATAATGATAATGCCATTTATCAGTGAAATTTTCATAAAAACGAATTGCCATACATTTACCAGTATATAAAAAAAGAACAAAGCAAATGACTGTAAAATCATATACTCTCTTATTAAAGACATTGACACCCTCATTTTTTTTTTCTCTCACATTTCGAACTCGAAAGAAGTTCATGAAGATAAAACGCTTTAGTAGGACTACAAACAAATCCTCACAATCCTTGCCAACTTCCGAAAATGGCTGCACTGTGACCTACTAACATGTATCTGAGTATTGCAAAAGGTTATTGTAACGAAAAACGACAAAAAATATCGTTTTAAAGTTACATTCATTTATGTCAGACCTGTCACTTTTATCAACACTGCATAATTGTATTATTATTGCCATTATGGTCATATGTTTATGATTACTATCTTCATTATCATTATCATAATTTTCATTATTGTTTTTTTTATCACTATTATTATTATCACTATTATTATTATTATCATCATCATCATCATCATCATCATTATTGTTATTATTACTATTAATGCTATCATTATAGTTATTATTATTATTATTACTACGATTATTACCATTATCATTATCATTACTACGATTACTACGTATTACTACGATTATATTTACTACGATTTATTAACATTATCATTATTATTATTATTATCACTGATGTTACTATTACTACTACTACTAATAATAACAATATCATTATTATTAGTAGTAGTGTTACTACTCGCATTATCATTATTGTTGTTGTTGCTGTTATTGTTATTATCATCATTGCCCTTTTTATTATTATTATCATTATATTCATTATAATTTTTATTATTATTATTATATTCATTATAATTTTTATTATTATCATTATTTTATTGTTATAATTATCATTATTCTATTATTATTATCATTATTATAATTGTTATCAATAGTCATTATTGTTATCATCATAATCATTACTAATATTGCTATCATCATTATCATTATCATAATTATCACTATTATTGTCAATATCATTATTATTATAATCATTATTATAGTCGATATTATTATTATAATCATTATTATTATTGCTATTATCATTATCATAAATATAATTAACATTATCTATGTAATATCTATTATCCTTATCATCATCGTCAGCATTATTGCTGTCATCATTATTACATGTATCATTATCATTATTACCTCCACTTTATCATCAGATTTTAAAAAATCATATTTAGATGGTTTAATTTCTCTCATATATCCTATACATTCAGTGCCTCTTCTTCATCTAAATTTTTTTTAACAATAAATAATGAAACTGATGTCTAAAATCCAACTTGATTCTTCCATTGACCATATCAAATCATTAATCAGCATGGATGAAACTATCAATAATCCAATTTCATTCTTTAACTACTGTTATCAAAATCATTCTTCTATGTGATTGTGTAAAGCTCCATTAGAGTAAGGTTACCACTATCATGAAAATATTGACTGTACATCGCATGCGGGTTCCGTTGCGTACATACCTGTAAGCGTTCTCATGCACACACACACACACACACACACACACACACACACACACACACACACACACACACACACACACACACACACACACACACACACACACACACACTTATCTATATATCATTATATGTATCATCTCCTTATGTATGTACGCTTTAGATTTCATCATTGTAATAAACATTCGGTCTGAAAAGAAAGAGAAATACCATTTGCAGGTGCGGGTAGCTGGCAAAAAGAAATCAAACTGCTAAAGAAAAAATGAAATGGATAAATGACAAAAAATATGTTGTATTCCTAAATTTTGAAAATGGAGATGAAACTCACGATATATGTGAAATTAATCGCACAAAAACAGGCATTTCTGTTACAAACTGGTACATAAATCATGCAGCACGAGGGCGGAAGGGAGGAAAGGAGGGGGGGGGTATAGGGTGCCACAGTGGAGGGGGGGGGTCAATAGATGTAGGTGAGAGGGAGGAGGAGGGGAAGGGGAAGGGGAGGGTGCCACCCAGAGGGGGGGTCAATATATGTAGGTGAGAGGGAGGAGGAGGGGAAGGGAAGGGAGGGTGCCACCCAGAAGGTAGGCGCCCAGTGGGTGTCTAGGGGCCGGGGTGGGGGAAGAGGCGCCGCCATCATTAGCGCGAGGCAGGTGAGAGAGGGCTCAATGCTGCGGGTCACCTCAGATCCCTCGTCAGATAACAGCACTGGCTTCTCTTTTGTTCTTGCTTTTGCCGCGTCGTCCACGCAGTCTCCCTGCCTCTCCCTTCGAAGAAAAACGCTACGACGAGGGGGGAAGTAAGAAAGAAAAGGTGGAAGAGGAAGAGCAAGAAAAAAGGAGGAAGAGAAGAGATCAGAAGGCCCCCTCGAACTCACGACATGACCGGACGTGGACTTGATAGTATCTTGCTCGAGGCTGAGAGGCGGTGGGCACGTGCTCAGTCCACCGTCTGCGTCCGCTGAGGTAAGTGCTGATGCTGCGTTGCCTCTGAGGCTGAGTTTGTGAGAAGGGACTCGCGTTGGGTCTT